CCCGGCAGCGCTGCTTACCAACTGTGTGCCCTTAGTATGCTACATGATCTTTCTGTGCTTTGGGTTTCTCCCATAGAACAGGGATAATGACAGTACCCAACTCATGAGGTTGTTGTAAGGATTGACTAAGATAATGCACAGAAAGCACCTAGTACAGGGCCTAGCACAGGGCTGACATACTGAGTGCTTAGGGGACTCAGGTGGGGACTGGGGATGGAGACATAGTGGCCCAACCACAGTTGGGCCCCAAAGAGATGTTCTGTCCCTCGCCTACTCGCCAGTCTGCTCTGCTCCTAGGACAAGCAAGCTGAGCAAAGTTTGCCAGCTACAAACCCCTAATTAAAGAGGAGAGATGACATCCGTGACTGATCATATAAACAATGCAGATTCCAAGCTCCCCTCTCCTGCTGCCCCCACTCCCTCTCCCCATCTCTCCCCAAAAGTTATCTAAATAAGAACAGATTTTACCACCCACCTTGTGGGCAGTCTCTAAGGCTGGGGACTAGCTATTTATCCTTCAGCTGCTGTGGGAATTCAACACACACAAATAAAGCTCCTTTTCCAGCCAAGTGTGTATTTTTCCATCAGCATGTGGCCCCCCTGCCCAGGTTGTCTTGTTTAGGTTGGGGCGGCCTGAGGGAGGGAAGAACAGGGTGGGGGGTAGGGGTCTGTGGTTTCAGAACCTGCTCCCCAGGATGGGTGGCTGCAGGGCAGCTTGGAGTCCTGCACAGGGCTGCCAGTGAAGGCTGGGGTGATGGACGCAGATGTGCTCTACCCAGAAATAACATGTTCCCCTTTCTCCTTGCTTCTTGGCAAGTTGCCCCTGGCTCCTACCATGGCTCCCAGGGAGCACTCATCCTTTTCTCCAACTCCCAGTTTCCATCAAGGATGACAGGTTATCCAGTGTCTCTCCCACCCCACCCCACCTCCCATCCCCGCTCCAGGATTTCTCCCCTTCATGTGCTTTCCTCGTTTGCCTTTCCCCCTGATCCCACAATCCCACCAGACTATGTCCCCTTCCTTCCGTGGTCTGCATCCTTTAACCAGGACCTTGCACCTCTGCTTCAAAAAAAGGCCTGCTGAGGGATCTTTCTCCCAAACCTCCCAGCAGAGGCAACTTCCTTTTGGCGGGGGGTGGAGGGGGGGTGAGTTTTTATTTATGCACTAGGTTCTCTCCAGACCTGGGAGTTATGTCTGGGGAACTGCCCAAACAGGGTCAGGTGGTGATGTGGTCCCTTCTGGGGGAATGTCTAGGTTTCCCTCCTCTGATGGCCCATGACCTCCAAGGTGTCTCCTAGTGCTGATATCTGGCAGTTCTGTGATTCTCAAACTACCTGTGGGATCCAAGGCCAGAGCCTGCTGGTGGTGTCAGGCTCACTCAGTGATGAAATGAGGTTGGTCTCACCTGCCCTTTCCATTCTCCCCTCTCCTCCAGCACTCTCTTGCCCTGCGTTACCGCCTGGGGCCTCCCACGCGCCTCCCACTATCCCCACCTGACAGCCTATCCTGACAATCCTCCTTCCTTCCTTATTCCCATTCTACAACTGCCCTCTCCACCCTAACAGTTGGTAGTAAGTCAGTGGGTTTACTCCTGGGCCATGGGGAGGGGGTGATCAGAGAGGGGAGTCTCCAAGAAACCTATTTGCAAGTGACAGACTCTAACAATCTCACATGAGCAAACAAAAGTCCTTGTTTCACAAACTGAGGAGTCCAAATGTACTGTCAGGCAAGTCTTTAGAAGAACTTGAGATACGAGCCCATCTTGGACCAATCACGGTGGCCAGGGAATAGGATAAACTGAGAAGACTGGCTCACATTCCAGCTCCGGAACCTAGAGTGGAGTCAACCCCACCTGAACCCCATGCCTTTGGGAGCCTGGGGATCGTTGCCTTTAGAAAAGCCAAACGGAAGTTCCTGGAAGAACGGAAGCCGTTACTGGGCAGGCTGAAGTAGCAGATGCCCCAGGCAAAGGGCCTAACCTGAAGGAATAAGGAACTGTGATGGTGGAATTTCAACCACTGTGCTAGCCACGGGAGGAGCTGTTACCGAGAAGGGGGTCAGGGAACTTGCTGGCCCTTCAAATCTCACCACAGAAATAGCTGCCCACTCTGCTTTCTTATAAAGAGAAAGGACATGCCCGAAGGGCACGACATAGAGCTACTGAATGGAGGGCCAGTTCTCAGGAGCAGAAATGTAGTTCAGACAAGAAGCTATCTGTTGTTCTGTGTTACTTGCATCTTCTGGCCAGATGTCCCTGTTAGGCTGGGAAACAGAATTTTTATGGATTGCTTAAATATGTTGATTTCTAAAATTTCCCCCCCATCCAGCAGAAATTAATTGAGCACCTTTTTGTGCAAGGCCCCGTGGAACGGACCGTAGCGGATAACACCAACACAGTTCCTGCTCTTGTGGAACCTTTCTGCCATGCCCATTGCGCGTTCTGAGAGAAGAGCCCACAGCCTTGCTCCAGGGGCAGCTCTGAGCAACCATATTTCGTCCCATGGGATCCCACATAAACATATCCATTCATTCGCTACAGTTCAAGGGCCTGGCCTGAGTGGTCAGTCCGTTAGTTGACCACTGACCTCTGATTTGACCTAGTGCAGGAAAAGAAGTTTGGCTAGTCAGGTTCTCCCTCCATCTCCAGGAAGTACCAAAAGAAAACGAGGCAATTAGCCAGGAATGGAAGCCGAAAGAAAGGATGCGTAGAGAGGGCTTGAGGAAGAACAGGGGTCATCGTGAGGCCCACGTAGGCGGAAGTTATGAATAAACATAGCCTGTGAGTCCAAAGAAGCAATGAGGTAAAGAAAAGATACTATTACCTCAAACTCTTGTTGTCGTTGTTTTAAATGTCAGCCCCTCCGCATCTGCGGCTCACTCACACCAGGGGCACGATGCCGGGGCCAGATCCGGGCCTCACCGGGGTTCATCGCCCCACCTCCGGCGCCCCAGCGAGCCTGCCTCCTCCTTCTGCCAGACCCGCTGCCCCCCGGGCGCACCCGGCTGCTGCTTCGCGGCTGCGGGCGCCCACTTGCCGGCGCGCGGGGATCCCGGGGGAGGCCAGACCCGCATCCGGCATCGGGGCCGGGGCCGGCGGGGGTGCAGAGGCGCCTCCCCGGCGGAGCGGCTGCCGGGCTCCCGCGGCCGCGCAGCCCGAGCGGCGACCACACGCGCGTCCCGCCGGCCCCGCGCGCCCGGGAGTCGCGGTGCGCCCGGCCAGCACGCAGCGGCGCCCACACGTGCGCGCGGCTCCACGGCTTCGGGAACAAGATCTAGAACTCTCTTTGCCCCAGCAATTCCGTGTCTGAGACTGCGTCTTACAGATACACTTACACGTGTGCTAAATGACATACATCCGATGCTACTTGCTGCAGTGTTTGTAGAAGAAAAGATTAAGCAAACCACATTTCCATGAAAAGGGGCGGGGAATAAAATTTAGGATACGTCTGTATAAAGAGAGGTAAGATACGGTAAAAAAAAAAATAAGAAAGCATTCTATACTGGTAAGGAAAGATCTCTGAGCTCTGTTAACAGATGAAAAATTCTGCACAAGCAGAATTGTGGTATGCTACCTTGGGCAGAAAGGAGAAGGAAGAATATATATGCGTTTTGTTTGTACATGCATGAAGAAACTCTGGAAGGATAGATAAGAAACTGATCATAGTGGGGGCGCCTGGGTGGCTCAGTTGGTTAAGCGACTGCCTTCGGCTCAGGTCATGATCCTGGAGTCCCGGGATCGAGTCCCGCATCGGGCTCCCTGCTCGGCAGGGAGTCTGCTTCTCCCTCTGACCCTCCTCCCTCTCATGCTCTCTCTTTCTCATTCTCTCTCAAATAAATAAATAAAATCTTTAAAAAAAAAACAAAACAAAAAAAAAGAAACTGATCATAGTGGTGACCAGTGAGGGTTTGGGAAATGGGCAAATGGAGACTGTTAAACAGATATATTTTATTCAAACCATGCGAATGTATTATTTATTCAAAAATTAAATTTATAAAAAGCCTTCTAGGTAAAAAGGTGCTGAGGAGGAGCAGGGGACTGTGGTGAGAAGGGGACAGATATCAGAGCAGGCCTACAGAGGGCAGCTTTGCTTCCTACTGGGGGGGTCCAGGCTGACGGGCCACAAACTCCCACTGGCTGGATCTCAGAACTGCCTCGCATCCATAATGGCCCTCCCATTTCAGCCACACTGGGCCCAGTCCCACTGCTCTTTCTGGTCTTAGATTTACTGAGATCCTGCCTCCCTTCTTGCTCTACACAGACCCTCTTAGGGAACATCCACTTACTTGAGTTAGCCCCTGTGTCTCCGTCTCTCAGTCCAGTCCAGCAGGAACCGCTGAATGGCCTTTCGGCAGTTGGGCCACAAGGATGGATGGATTTGGAATTCCATCTTCAGTAAGAGTGGAAGAAAGAAATACTCCTGGAGGCATTGTTTGGCCTCTCAGAAGGAGGTAGGGCACTAGGCCAGTGAGGCCCTGACTGGGGCTTGCATCTCCTTCCTATGATTGCAGGGTTTTACTGAACCCAATCTCTTTCCCTTACATCTAGAAAGGAACTGCCTGCTTGTCCTGAGGACATCATCCCACTCTGGGTCAAGGCTTCAGGAAGAAGATTTCCAAGGCAGAGTGGGTGAGGAAGGTCGCCCAAGTAGAGGAAAGGAAGCTGATTCTTTGGGATTTACAGAATCAGGAAACCCCAGGAATAGGCTTCGGGTCTGAGAAGATGCTCAAGGGCGTCTAACAGGAAGTCCACCATGTTGCCTGCTTTCTCTAGATCATTCTCCACCTAACCCAGTGCCCAGCACACAAAGGGCACTTAAACACAGGTGAGCCAAATTGATTCTGATCCTTCTGAAGTTCAAACCTGAGCCTCTTTGGCTGTGCCCCGGCTGCCCCAGAACTCAGGGGACAGGGTGATCACTCCTCTCTCAAGGCAGCCCCACCTCTGGCTGTAGCTCACAGAGCTACCGGTGGCAGCAGCAAAGAGTTGAGGGACACACGTAATACTTCACTGGTGCTTTATTATACAGAAGAATCCAAATATTTACATCGTGACAATTCTTACACTTCACACAGCTGGAGAGGGCATGGGCCTGCAACCCAGAAGTGATATAGGGGATACCGGGTGGGTGGGAGAACTTGCTACACCAGAGCAGAGGTAGTTAGAGAAGACGGTGCCAGAAAGGATCAGGATTCTAGCTACTTCCCATCATCCTCACTTATTCAGGCCCTACCAATTGTTGTCAACTCTTCCTCCTGGAGGTTGACGAGAAAGAGGTGGGGAGAGGAAGGTGAAGAGAAGGCCCAACTAGAGGCTTTGTTAATCCATAGTCTTCAAATCTCAGCACTGAATTAAGGACTCTTCCTCTTGATGTGTACAGAGGTGCTTTAAAAACCATGGTTGACTATAGAAAGTTCTCTTCCACAAGTTGCTCTGCGAGGAGACTGTGGTTGGCACTGTTTGCCAAGGCACAACACACAGAGGCCAGGGCCACACATCCCAGGTCGGCAGTTCCCAACATTTCTTCCACCGCAGCCCTTTGGATGGATTCATCCCCGTGGACGCCATTTTGGAAGATTTCACATGCACTGAGTTATTTGGTTTTTGATTTTGTTTCATCAAAGACATATAAAACCTTCAAAGTCTTCTACTGATTATAATGGAGATAACCAAAAGAGTAACATACTGACTTGCTAAAAAGTCCATCAGAAACAAAGAAACTACTTCACCACTTATTTTGGGTAAATGTACATCATCAACTAGGCTTTTTGAATAATGAAAACAGTTCATGGCGAACACCTCTACTCCCTTCCCCCACACCTCTCCTCTGTCCAGAAGGGCCAGACTTGGCAAATGCCCAGAGCTTTAGGAGTATATGATACGATGACAGTGGTGCCACCCTAGAGCTTGCAGCCAAAAATCCCTGGCACCCTTTTCATAGAAGAGGCCACCTGTAGGGGACTGTTCCCATGACTCCTAAACCTCCAACACATGGCCACTTCACTCCACATTCCGCTCAACACTGGCTCCCTGGCTCCAAGGGCGGAAGTGACCGCATGGGGTGGGGCTGGCTGTGAGGAGGGGCCTGGGTGACTTCCTAGAAGTCAAGGCTCCCACAAATCACACCAACTTTGTCATCCCTGGGGCACCTCAGAGAACTTTCCACAGAACAGTCACCAACTCCCAGTACCCAAAGTAGAGCAAACTCCTTCCATGAAAGGCTCTTGATCAGGGAAACAGGGAGACCAGCGGTTCTCAACCAACTGGTAAATGAATTCCCCACCATCTAGTGAGTGCCTACTCTGAGGTTAACCCTGTGCTAGGACCCTAAGTTCCTTCTGTGATTACAAGGTCAGCACATTTAGCTTCAGAGCCCGTAAGAGTCCAGGCAGCTTAGCTGGTCAAATGAGATTTAGAAATGTGCCAAGTTCCACTCATGGTCTCTGCCTCATCCCTTCACCTCAGCCTAGGCAGCCTTGGGGACTTGCGTCAGAATTTCCACTGGGCACTGGGGGCAGTGGGGAGATAGAAGCTAAACTGCAGGCTAGGAAGGACCTTCTCAGAGTTGTCTTAATAGTAGAGCCCCTTTTCTGAGCCTTGGATTCCCTTTTTATGTCTTCAAGAATGTTCTAGCTCTCCCCTCCTCATCCTGAGATCGAATGTGTGTGTGTGTTTGGGGTGGGGAGCGCTAGAACACTCGGAGACACTTGGTAAACCCTAAGGTAGGAAGGTTATGACAGGAGAGGCAGAAGTGTCATGCTTCTTTGGGGCACCCAGGGATCCCAGATTCCTATAATGCTCCCTACAAAACAATACATACAATGCAAATATCCCTCCAGTTTGCTGGCCAGGGGCTCCCTGCCCCAGAGAAGGCAGGACCTGGGATGCAAAGAAAGAGCTATGCTTGCGGCAGGAGTTGCCAAAAGGCATATGGTGGAGAACCACGAGAGGGCAACTCAGAGCCAGAAGGAAGCCAGGCAGTCATCGACTTCCCTCTGTGTACCCTGCCAGGATCCGGGGGAACTCTCTCTTATTGAGGGCAGAAGTTTCATTGGTGGTTGGGCTTGGGGAAGAGGTGGGACCCCATGTGGGATCCCTTTACCCCTGCCCCAATGCGGGGGGCTGAGGCTGGAACCACAAAGGCAGCCTCTTCCCCATCCTTCCCAGGGCAGAGCAAGAGGGATGGGAAAGTAGAGTGTGGACAGTCTTCTCTGGTTGATGGGACCATGAACTTTACCCCAGGTGAAACTCCTACGATCAGGGTTTTCTAGGATCGGTGGCACCTTGTGATGTCACTGGGTAGCACTAGGTGGTATAGAGGTGAGGGCCCTGGGAGAGAGCAGTGTTACATTCTGTGAGACGTTAATAGATAGCCCATGAAAACCAACCAAACAAACAAAAACCTGTTGTCAAAGAATTTGGGGAAGTGGGTTAAACAAAGGTCAACAGACTTTATCCCTGCGGGAATTCTTGCAGCCGTTACTATACTAATATGCACTGTGAATCTCTAAGAAAGGGACAGAATGTGTAGTATCTTCTAAAACTGATTTTAACAGAGAGTCTTTTTGCATGGCATATCTCAAGATTAACAGGACACAGAACACATTTCGTGTCCAATCCGCGAGTCAAAGGGCAGATGCCCAAATGCCTTTGGCAGTCCCCTTATAGGTCTTTCCCTGTGAGGTCCCCCTGCCCATTGTACCCTGATCCTTGACCTGCTCGGCCCCCTACCTCAGTCACTGTTTTGTGCTTCCCTCAGCCCTCATTTCCCTTAGGCAGACAAATGTCCAGATCTCTGGTCCACAGCTTCAGATGTGACAGGGAAGAGGCCCAGAGGAAGGCCAAGGGGAACCCAGGCTAAGAAGCGCACGTTGATGATGGCCATGGGAGGGAGGAGACCAATGGAGCCCAGGGCCCAGGGACTGGGCCATCCTACTGTGGATCATACTCTTGAGTTGTGGTTGAATTTATTTTATAAGCAGCCATCATTCGTGGAGTGGGAGGGGAGGGGAGGGAAGGGAAGAGATGGGAAGCAAAGAGTGAGGAGGGACATTTATAAGTGTGAGGCAAAGGCGGAGCCAGAGGGCTGGAAGGCCCTGCCCACTGACAGGCCCCCGCCTGCTGACACGGCTCCCTCTGCCCTGAGCAGCAGTTCTCCATCCATGGAGGGTGGTGGGTTCCCAAATTGGGTTCCCTCTGGCTCTACAAAATGGCTGCCCTCTAACCTGGGGCCCCCTGGCTGCGGACAGGAAATGAGGGTCACTGAGGGGAAGCCATAGGTCTCCAGCCCAGGGGGCCGCCCAGCCTCGGAAGCTTCCAGAATGAGATCCACATCAGAGAAGGCCACCAGGGCCTGGGTGGAATCGCAGGAGCTCTTGTCCAGCTCGCTGGCAGCAGCATAGGCTAGGGGCCCTGGGGTCCCCGTGCAGGGCCAGAGCCGCCGCAGGTCATCCCGGAAGTGGGGGTTGAAGAGCAGGTAGAGCAGAGGGTTGAGGCAGGCAGGCAGGGGTAGAACCACAAGTAGCACAGACTTGACGGCCTCCGGGGTGACAGGGAAGAGGCCTAGCATGGAGGCGAAGCTGAGGAAGGCCACGGGGCAGTAGAGGAGCCCGTCGGCAAAGATGAGCCAGGCCACGTGCCTCACCATGGCGCAGTCCCACACGGCCTCGAAGTCGCCCCTCGGCAGCTCGCAGTAGAGTTTGATGTAGGCGCCGGCCACTACCAGGAAGCAGAAGGAGTTCATCATGACCAGGGCCACGGCGAAGCCCAGGGCAGCTGGCCGGCCCTCGGGGGGGGCATAGGGCAGGCAGAGCGGGGACGCCCCGTATTCTCCCACCGAGGCGAGCGGCAGGGCGGCGGCCAGCCCGGCCAGCAGCAGGCAGCCCAGGGCCCCGGCTCGCACGCTGCTCAGGGAGGGGGCCTTCCCGTAGGCCCGGACGCAGGAGACAGAGATGCTGCACTGCACGGCGGCCAGGGTGAGCAGGAGCACGGAGGCCTCGGACCCCAGGACGGCCAGGAAGCCTGTGGCCTGGCAGCCCAGCCCCATCTCCCAGCGGGCTCCATACTGGGAGAACTGGCCAAAGGTCAGGGCGTCGACGGAGGCTAGGAGGCCACAGGAAATGCCCGTCAAGGCGTTGGCACCCGCAATTGCCCCTACGACAAACTTGACCGGGGGCAGGGGGCCGGGCCCGCCAGCAAAGACGCTCAGCAGCACCAGCCCGTTACAGAGCACGGAGAGCAGCACGACGGCCCACACAGCCAGGCGGATGCCCCAGCTCTCGAAGAGGTGCTCGCAGGGCTTGAAGGGGCCTGTGGGAGAGAGGATCAGACATTACCCCTGGGTCAGAGGCTGCTGGGCCGAGGGTCCTGGGGATGAGGCCAGAGAGGCTGACACAGCCTCTGTCCTCAGAGAACTCCCAGGGTGACGGAGGCTGACCTGGTCTCTCAGAACTGTCAGGTGGGGTTAGGGCGGGGGGAAGTGGGGACACACACAGCTCTTCTTCCAAGGAGCTGCAAATGGAGTGAACACTCACCCAATACATGTAGAAATATAAACACATAATAAACCAACTTGTACACAAAGTACAGATTCATACAGCGCAAACCCAGGCATTGAGGAAACGTTCAGCCAAGCCGTCTTTCCAAAGCAGCAGGATTTAGGGGACAGGAAGGGGCGAGGTGGCATAAAGGAGAGGAGGGGGCATCCAAACTGGGATGCGGCCAGGCCGGAGACACAGAGGTGTGAGGGGCTGCCCGGAGAGGGGACCAGTCTGCGTCCCAGGGCTCTGCTTCTCCCCGTCAGTGCCCAGGGATCCACTAAGGACCCGGCCATGCATGAGCGCTGGCCAGATGTTGTACCTGGCTGGCTCTCCCTTGCTCTGTGACGGGGAGACAGACCACAGTTAGTACTCACAGAATCAATCAGTATTTGGGAAGAAAAGCATAATAAGTAAATGAAAATACGGATGACTCTGGGTTTTTCCAACCTGGTTTTGCACAAATGGCTGAGATCGTGGTGTTTTCCATCTCTCCCCTCAGGTTCTGTCCTTAAATCACCCTGTAACTTTGGACATGTTATGTCTTCATTTCTTTTGGCTTCAGACTCCTGTTCTGCAATGTATTTCTAGTAGCTTGGGAATCTGAGAGGCTTTTGTGGGAACTATTTTTTAAACATTTTTTTTTCTGACTACCATCTAATAGATGGCCATTGTAGAAAGTTTGGAAAATATAACACGGAAAAATTAAAACTGCTTATCATCCCACCTCTCCGAAAGAATTCATCGTTTTGGTATGTTTCCTTCCATTTTTTTTTAAAAAAATACATACATACATATACGTTTTTAAACTAAATTGGGATTTTCCGTATATAGTTTTTAATTCCCTTTTTTAAGTAAAAATCTTACGATGCACACTTGCCCAAATCTTTATCTTCCATGGCTGCGTAGTAAATATTTGCCCATATGGATAATTTATTTGACCATCTGCACGCACGATCTATTTTTAAAGCAAGTTCAAGCTGGACTTTGCCTTTTGGAGCCTCCTCTTTAACCTCATCACTGCTGATTATTCGTTTTCAGAGGTGAAATTTCTGTGGCAGCGTGAAGCATGGGGGTTTCCAAGCCAGGAAGAAAACACCACGTTTCCTCCAGACTGCGTTGGTGCTCTTGCTCTGGGCTGCCACTAGAGGGCGTGCTCCACCCACTGAGCGCCGCGGGCAGGGGCTGGCAGTTGGCAAGTACTATTTTGGCTCAGAGAGAGCAGTGAGAGAAGGCCAAGGGGCGCGAGCCAAAGAGAGATGTCAAACTGGAAAATGGAGGGGAGACGAAATAGAGAAGCACACTGTTCACCGCCTTCTGTTCATTCCGACCAGATCCTGTCCCGGCTTAAGCAATGTACTACAGCCTTCTGGGGGTGACCTGCTAGCACTTTATACACAGGGGCAGGGGCTTCCTCACTCTAAACAGGTTAGGGTGCACTGCATCAAAGGGAAAGAGAATTCTCTTTCTTTCTTTACAGCAAGATCAGGTGAGACTCTACAGGAGACTTTCTCAGATGTAAGGGTTGGATAGGCCTATAAGGAGTCATCCAGGGGTACTGTGAAGTTTTTCCACCCTGGAGAGTTTAAAGAAAGAGAGCAGAGAGGGATGGAGAAGGTGACCTTGCGGAGGCCCATGCGGCTCTAGGATTCTTCGACTGAGAGAGTGCTCAGAAGCAGTGCCACACTCCACCCTGATCAGTGGGGTCAAGACATTCTTTCCTGCTTCTCTCTTCCATGAGAGACACTTTCTCCTGGATGTTTAACTTCTCACTGGCTGATTTGTGAAAGTTGCTTTGACTCCTCTCTCCCCACTGTCCCCCCTCCCCCACTGCTGTTCCAAACGGCCACTCAAGGGAAGAACTCCAGCTCCTTCCCTAGGAATCACCAGAGAGGCTCTCTTCCCTCCAGAATGTTGGCTCTTAGGCAAAGAAGGTGCCTGAAGCGGTTATAAACATGCCAGGCTGAACTGGCATCTCATCTAAATATTCGGGTACTCCTTCCCCAGTCCTGCCCCCACCCCCACGCCAAGGCACCCATCTCACCTGGAATGGGGCTACACTGGACACTGAGGTGTGGCTTTGTGTCCTCCATCTCCAGCTGGAGCTCGTCCAGATCCAGGTCATCTGAGAGGTGAGAAGAGAAAGTGGCTTGGGGCCCAGGTCTTGGTGACAGTCAAATTCCACCTTTCTCCAAATGCCCACCTCTTTAAGCAGTCATCCCCAACTCAATCTGCTCAGCACAGGTCATCCCAGCAGCCATGCACATCTGTTCTACTCTTGGGTGTAAACATTCAGTCAGTTCCTATTATCCACATGTGGATTATTTGCATTGTCTGTTCTTTACAGCAAACTTGTATCTGAAACTCTCTCATCTCATCCTATAACTCAGCATGCTGTGTCCCCTCCAGGCAGCCTAGTTACCGTGCATGCTGCTTAGAGTTAAGGTGGAGGCTGCCTTAATAATGGGAGCTGGTAATCAAATAGTTCTCCACACTGGCCAGTCCCCCACTGTAATTCCCTGGCCAGTTGTGAACACCATGTGCTAGGAAGAACATCTTCTTTTTTATTTTTTTGTATTTTTAGAGAAAGAAAGAGCCCAAGCGGGGGTTGAGGGGCAGAGGGAGAGGGAGAGAGAGAGAATCTTAAGCAGGCTCCATGCCCAGCAAGCACCTGAAGCGGGGCTCGATTCCACGACCCTGAGATCATACCTGAGCCGAAATCAAGAGTCTGACGCCTAATCAACTGAGTCACCCAGGTGCCCCAGGAAGGGCATCTTCTTAAGACAGAGTAGTGAGCTGCTTCAGAGGAGGTGAACCAGGGATAGTGGGCGAGTAGAAGCCATACACTTGAGAAATGGTCACAGCCACTGGGGGATTAACTTAGGCAAGGCAAGAGTAAGTGGGAAAACCGAGGCCATCCGCAAGGAGCTGAGGCCCCCTATATCAGGGGCCCTTTTTTGCTTCAGGCATAAAGGAATTGTGCTCCTATATGCTGTATTGTTGCAGAGGATAGAATCAGGATGGGTCGTAGGAGGCAAATTAACAATTCAAATGGAGAAGTTTTCATCAGCTCCCACACTTAGAGCTGACCAATAGAGAGGTGGGCCTGAGGTCCCCAGGCGCTGCATGCAATGCCTGCCATTCGCTGGACTTCTGGCAAGTGCAGAGGACCTCGAGGATGACGAAGACATGGTCCTGCTCTCAGGGAGCTTATGGAGACGGAAGAGGATCAAGCACTCATGTCAGAATGCGCTGTGTCAACTAACAGATTTATGTAACAATAAGGGCTAAGAGTCTCTGAGCCCCTACTCTGTGCCAGCCACTGCCCAGCAAGTCATCTTCATGGTCTCATTAACCTTCCCGGTGGCCGCACGAGGCAGGTGTCCTTTGACACCATTTGACAGATGAGGACACTGAGGCTCATGGAAGTGAAGCGGCTCGCCCCAGGTCTCCCAGCCGGTGCGCTACAGGGCGGAAGTCCAACCCCACTTTGTCTGACTACAGAGGCCAGGGATTTAACCTTTACGCTCTCCTGATTTGGGGGGGCTGGAGGGGATAGGGGGGCAGCTTTACAGATGCACGAGCTGGGCATAATTTGTCCCCAGAGGTGCTGGAGCAGGAAGTCCCAGATGTGAGAAAGGGCACTTCTATGCTGAGTGAGAGGCTGGACTAGATCTTTACTGTCCACAATAGCCAAACTGTGGAAAGAGCCAAGATGTCCATCGACAGATGAATGGATAAAGAAGACGTGGTATACATATACAATGGAATATTATGCAGCCATCAAAAGGAATGAGATCTTGCCATTTGCAACGACGTGGATGGAACTGGAGGGTATTATGCTGAGCGAAATAAGTCAAACAGAGAAAGACATGTATCATATGACCTCACTGATATGAGGAAATTCTTAATCTCAGGAAACAAACTGAGAGTTGCTGGAGTGGGGGGTGGGGTGGGAGGAATGGGATGACTGGGTGATAGACACTGGGGAGGGTATGTGCTCTGGTAAGTGCTGTGAATTGTGCAAGACTGTTGAATCTCAGATCTGTACCTCTGAAACAAATAATGCAATATATGTTAAGAAAAAAAAAAAAAGAAGATAGCTGGAGGGGAAGAATGAAGGGGGGGAATCGGAGGGGGAGACAAACCATGAGAGACGATGGACTCTGAGAAACAAACTGAGGGTTCTAGAGGGGAGGGGGGTGGGAGGATGGGTTAGCCTGGTGATGGGTATTAAAGAGTGCACGTTCTGCATGGAGCACTGGGTGTTATGCATAAACAATGAATCATGGAACACTACATCTAAAACTAATGATGTAATGTATGGTGATTAACATAACAATAAAAAAATTAAAAAAGATAGATCTTTACTGATCCTTCCCATTCTAAGTCTAGACCCTGCAGTTCCTTAGCCTGAGAAAATAGGATTAGAAAGATAAATCCATTGTTAAAGAAACTCTGTAACTTGTTTGAATCAAGTAGCATTTTTTTTCTCCTCTTAGTCACTATTGCAGTGTTTCTTAAACCAGAGCCTGTGAACTCCAGGGGTGTTAGGGATATCTTGGGGGTCCATAAATTCTGTAAGAATTTTGAAATGATCATCTTAAAACATCTTATCATTTATAAAGACAAAACTCTTGTTTGCGGCAATAATTCATCATTGAAAGACTTTTTTTTTTTTTTAAGAATAAGACTTCAGTCTCTCTAGTGAGACTGGGCAAGGTGTCTGAGGCCCTAAGTGGTACGAGAGATTTGTTTCTCTTCAGAAGGACGCCTGTACGTTACCCAGGCTTCAGAGACAGTGCCCCGTGGGCTCATCCTCCACCACACATGTAACGGAGAGGTGACTCGGTGTCATGCTTGTCCCCATCTTTGACTCATGTGGTTTGTTTCCTTCCTCCCCACTTAAAGGGTAAACACCTTCAGTTGGGCATTTTCCCAGGAGGCAGGAAGGCTCTGTGGAGCTGCCCTTGGCCCAGACACAATCAGGGTGGGCAGGAGGCCGAGGTGTGCCCACAGAGTCCTGGCATTTCCTCTCCTCTCTACCTTCCATTCCCTGCCCACCTGGGCTCTCCAGAATGGAGCTCAGCAATTCTTTGAAATCTGAATGCATGAATGAAACACAAGGGGTGAAACCCGCGGACTCCGTCCGAGGCTGGGAAAGTCACAGCCAAGGTGTTAAGTAACCACTCTTCAAACAAGGAGGAAATCAAATCTGGCTGCAGCCGAAGCTCCTGGCTTTCTTCCTCAAGGCTTATTAGCTCCCACAGGAAGTGGGGGGCCCTGCCCTAGCTCCCGTTACCGGCGGCAGGCAGCCCACGATTCTGACGCCCTGTGGCTCTCCAAGACCTAAGCCTGGTGGAAAGTTTCACCTTGAGGAAGGAAAGTTTCCATTCCTCCTTCCAGCCCTCTGAGGGAGTGGACAGCAGACAGACATCAGGAATGTCCCCTGGGGACAGCTGTCTGCCGGCCTAAAGCCAGCCTGGCCACTGGGCTCCTCATGGGGTCCTCACGCCCTCCCCAGGGAGGGGTCTGGGAGAGAGACCCCAGAGACCCCCTAACTGCTTGCACAACACTGGCCTCCGTAAGCTGTGTCCCGGACTAGACAACACACCGTCCCCCAGCACGCACACGGGGAGGCTCCCCGTAAGAGCAGTAGGCAGTACCAGTGAGTGCCGGCCTCTACAGCCTGTGGATGTGTAGTATCATTCTCATGGCACAGATCAAAGAAACAAGGCTCAGTAAGGTTAAATAGCTTGTCCCCGGCAACTCAACTGGTAAACAGTGTTGCTGGGTTTAGAACCCAGGTCTGTCTACACCAACACAGATGTTTTTCTTACATGTTTCATTTTGATTTTTCTGTTTAGCTTCTCCATGGACATATTGTGGAGAGGGGGTTAGAGACTGAAAAAGAAATCCAAATATCAGGGGCCCTTTTGTGCTTCTTCCTAATTCTACCTGTGTTGTCACATGGGGTGAAGGTGAGGGGGATGGAAGCCCTCCTCTCTGCCCTTTATCTAAGACACCACTTGACAGAGGATCCTTAAGCCCCCTCAGCTGCCTACCTCCACCCTTCCTTCCTTTTACCCCAACTGTTCCGGAAACAGACCCATGTGGCTCAAGACCCACGTGGCCCTTCTCAGCAAGGTCCTCTTGTACCTAGTGGCCTGTGATAATCCCCACACTGTTCCATTTGGCTCTAGGACATATAATGAGGGGACTTTTTTTTTTTTTTAAGGTTTAATTTAATTGATTTAATTAAATCCTGCTTGGCTCAGGTTGATTAGAAAGTGGATGTCCACTCTGAGAATGCCCTGAAGTTGAAGGGCCCATGTAGCCAGGAGGCAGCTATGGAGAAGGAACATGTGAGCCATGAGGGCAGGGGTGCTCTGTAAGATGCAGCTCAGGGAGCACCTTGCGAATCGCCAAGGGCTTGGCAAATATGGAAACATTACTACTGTCCTTGTCTTCCTCATCTTCTCCGCAAGCACTTCTGGGCTACGTCCTTGGAGAGACAAGGTGTAGAGGTCACCTCCCAGGTCACCCTTGGGGTTTCCCTCCGCAGCCCCTGCCAGAGCCCCTCTCAGGGTCCCCCAGGCCTCCTCCCTAACTTCCTCTCCAAGAAACGCCCCCCCCCCCCCCAGCCCAGGGCCCCCATCACTCACAGTGGTTCTCAGCTTGTCCAGCCAGAAGGCCCGGGGGCCTCTTCGGAGCCTCCTCCTCCTCAAGGTGAAAGTCCTCAGCCTCCCACTGCCCAGAGGCCTTGAAGAAGCCGGCACAGACACCATAGGCACAGCACTGGTAGGCATAGGGCACCTCCAGGATCCTGGGGGCCGAGGGGGCACAGGGGCAAAATGAGCTGCCTTAGGAATGTTAGGATGCCAACCCACAGACCCGGCACTCAACACCGGCCTTTCAACCCCAAAGTGCCCCGATTACGGTGCAGGCAGCCCCCTGGGCTTTCTTTGTACAGATCTTACAGTCTGGCTTCTGCCTCTGAAGGCCTCTGGCATCTTCCAATCTTTTCGTCACTCATCTTGAGAATGAGATGGGAAGATAAACTTTCCGTCGTTTATGGAGTCCCCTCAGTAGGCTCAGAGTGGGGAGCAGCTCACCCAAGATCACACAGCACTCTGGTGCTCTGCTCCCCTCCCAGCCAGCAACTCTTCATTCAGATTCCAGGAGACGGGGATTCTCCTAGTGACTCTTGCTTTACCCTTGCCCTCAGTAAGACCCACGCCCTTGCCCCTGGCCCCACCCCTGGGCACAGCAGAGCTGAATTTGGTGCCCTCTGAGGGCGAGGGCAGATGCCACCAGGCATCTCGTTAGCTGGCTTGGGCCACACAGGCTGTGGTCCTGCTGCAGGCAGAAGGCCTGGATGTCATTAGCACCAGGGACTGGCCAGGCTGCTTGTTTCCCACTCCTGACCACAGGGGCCCAGACGCTGCCCAAATGAGGACAGGCAGTCTGCGTGTACTGAAGGGGACAAGGAGCAAGGAGGTCCGGGGGGCCTGCACATCACCTTACTCCTGTCCTCACAGGAGGGCTCAGCGTCCCCTGGGGCTGATGCTTGGGACAGAAAGAAATGCTATGAATGAGATGAGGAAGGAGAGGCCTGAGCCCTTCCCACTCAGTAGTGGCCAAACCCTATGCCTCTGGGCCATCAGGTTTTTCTTGAGGTAAAGCCCTATGGCTTTCTCTCTGTCCCTCCATGGCCTCCCCAGCGACTCCGGGGCAAACCTATCTAGAGGTGGGGGAAAGCCAGGCACTCACCTCAGTTTTGGGAAACTGTCCTTGGAGAAGGCCTGGGATAGAGCCAGGTTCCCTTTGAGCTTCAGATGCATCAGGCCCCCAAGTCCAGCCAGGGGCAGTGTGGTCAGCTGGTTGTCTGTGAGGTCCCTAGGACAGTGGATGGTCAGGGTTATTGGCAGTCAGTGGGGTTGCTGAGGGGCAGGGCTGTGCTAAGGGTGTGACCAGGGTGCCTGGGATGGAAGCAAGAGGAGAGGAGCAGAGGACAGATGAGCATAGAGAGACAAGAGCACTAAATGCTGGGGGGGGGGGGGGGGGGACGGTCAAGGGTAGCTATAGAGGCACCACGCATAACTCACTCACTCATTCATTCATCAAATACTATATACCAGGGACTGCTCTAAGGTAATGCCAAGCCATCCCCATTTGTAGGTCACAGAGTCCCTTAACCACAGATCCTATGCCCAGGTCCCAGCCCCGTGCAAGGGCCCCTGTCCACCCACTAGGGCATCTGCCTGTACTTGCTTGTCCCTATTCCCCTGCTTTTCTGACGACATGGGAGGCCAGAGTCGGGGATTGGACAGAGCTGGCCTCTGGCTACATGCAGGGGTTTGGTCATCCGTTCTGTTTTGCAGGGATGGCTTTGTAGCCAGAGATGAGGACATGCATGGTCTTCTACTGGAGACACATTACAGGGAACCAGGGCTCCAAACCAAACACCAGGACCACAGACTGCACATCGTGGAAACAGCCTGGACTGGAAGGCAGGAAACCTGGCGCTGTCACCGACTCCCTGCATAACCGAGGGGAGTCAAAAATCTGCCTGAGTTTCAATGTCCTCATCTTTCAAAGGGATAAAAATATCCACCCTACCTATCTGGCAGGAGTAGAGCAAACAGGAGAGGGAAGACCGAAGTGCGAGTTTTACAAGGCTCCGGCCCAGAGCCCAGAGAGTGGCAGATAGGAGGGGCACTGTGAACCACCTGGGAGGCTTGCATTCTGGCCTTGCTTTGAGCGAGCCTCTCCCCCTGGGCCTGGAGGCCTCCCCTGTGAAGTGAGGGATTGGGTTGGATGATCTCCAAGGCCAGAGCTGGAGCTAGCCCATAAGGAGTCTGGGCATTAATCAGAAAAGGGTCCTGTCGGGGTGGACACACCTTTAGGACATGCAAGCAGGCAGTCAGCTCCCCCTTGGGTGGGAGCCCTTGTGCATGCAGTACACAACCTGCACCACAGTACATGGCAGCCCCATCAGAGGTCCCTTCCAGCTCTGACCTAATGACCATGCAGCCAGCACTATATGCTCCCGTTGGCATCCTATGTAACTTAGGGGACCTGTGATCCTCTGCCACCCTGCAGAATGGCAACCCTCTAGAGTTACTGCTCATGCAGGGGACTGCTGAGCTGAGACCCTGGGTTCCCACATCTGCTGCCACTGTCCCAGGTCGTGAAGGAGTTTCGGGCTCGAATATCCTTTGTTGGGACGTGTAGAGGCTGGGGTAGGGCCCAAGACAGGGGGGCACTGGGAGGGCTGAGGCCGCCAAAATGTTGCCAAACATTAGCAGATGATATTCCAGAGCTTGCAGGAGGCAGGCTCTCTGTTTATCAGGCCCCCAATCTGTCAAACGGACTGTCAGAATGATTGATTAGGCTGGAGGCCACCTCCCCGGGATGTGTGGTCAGACATTCATGCATGTCCCTACTCTGGGGTGGGCCCTCCTGCCCCCCCTTGGCCAGCCCACGGTCCTGACTGGTCTCCATCAAGTGGGAGGAGAGTGCAGTGAGCACTTACAGCTTGACTAGGGAGCATAGGGTCACGAAGGCCTCAGGGTGGATGGACCGGATGGCGTTCCAGCTCAGGTCCCTGTGGACAGAGAGGTATTACAGGTGGGACCAGCGACATGTGGAGGACTCACTGTTCCCATCCTGAGTTCTCCTCTCACTCCCCATCTGAGCTGCCCCCAGTAGCAGAACTCTCAGCCTTTTGGGGGAAGGCACCTGCTGCCTGGCTCCGAACCTGGCTGTGGCGACAGAAAAAGGGATTTGGCAGATTGGCTTCAGAGCCTCATCGACTCCTGGGTACCAGCTGGAAAAGCGGCTTCAGAAGCCATCTGGAGGGGGAGGCACCTCGTGTGTGTGTGTGTGTGTGTGCGCGCGTGTGTGTGCGTGTGCGCGCGCACACGCGCGCGCAGAGGCGGCAGGGATATAGAGCAGGGAGGCTTTGTGCATGCCACCGCCATGTGTGCTATGGGTATGGAGCATGCCTGGGAAAGGGGCACAGGGCGCCCCTGTAGGGCCCACCCCTGGATGCTGCAGGATACTTACAGGGCTCGCAGGGAGCTCAGCTGGCTGAAGGTGTCAGCTCCAATTTCCCAGATGCGGTTGTGTTGGAGGCCGCTAGGGCAGCAAGAGAGACTGGATGAGCCAACAGGCTCAGACCCTGGCTCAGTTCCACGCCCCCCATGCACTCGGAGGAAGAAAGGAGAGCCCCCCACTTCTCCTGGCATGGGAAGAAAGGGCCCAGCCCGCGGAAGTCACCAGAATTAAAGGGAGCACAAGGGGATCCGGTTGCCTTGGGTAAGTGGGTCAGGAGACAAAGCCACAAAACCATCCCTGTGGCCCAAAAGGGAGTCAGTTTCCAGGGTTCCCACCGGGGCTGGCTCCCAGCCCAGCCAACCTCGCCCCTGGGTCCTCCAGACCTTAGTCCAGCAGCAGAACACTGCCCCGCCCTTGGATGACCCAGTGGCTGGCCCAAGCTGGGGAGCAGAGCTCAGTAGACTGCTTCTCTGAATGGGAGATGGAGCCTGTACCTCAGCAATGCTGAAGACCCTCTTTCCTTTGGCATCTAGATCAACAGGACAGACCCTCACACCCCTATCCTGCCTGGGCCCCAAAAGGCGTTGCCCTGCCTAGGGTCAGGGGACAGACATGGGAGGCTCAGGAGACCCAGCAAGTTTGAAAAAACAGAAGCTGGGTGAAAAGAGCTTAGAGCAATTTTTAAGTGATTTTTTTTTCCTTGTCAAATGTGAATCCTGGGTTTCTCCTCCTGTGTATAAGTGTGCGTGTGCACAAAGACACACTTGTGTCCTGCCTCCCAGCCCTGATGTGCCTGACCCTGGCCCCCACTGGCCCAAATCACTACTGACTTTCATCGTTGTGACTGACCCTCAGTGAGCCACCTTGGGACTGTTTGCGTGGGCCCATCATCTGTGGTCCCTGGAGGCCTCGTCTAGGCCTCTGCTGAGCCCCCAGCCCTAACCCCTGGATATAACAAGCTCAGAGAAGGGAGAAATGTCTGAGTGTGCACGCTGACCCCCTCCCCTCAGACATGCCCCAAGTCTGGCTCGCATGCCTTCACCTTGCCCCTGCCCCCCCAACTCACATTTCCTCCAGCTTCTGACACCTGTGCAGACTGGGCAGCTCCTCGATTTGATTATGGGACAACTCCCTGGGGAAGAGAGACTGGATGAGACAATAGGCTCAGACCCTGGCTCAGTTCTACACCCCCCACGTACTAGGAGGAGGAAAGGAGAGCCCCCCACTTCTCCTGGCATGGGAAGAAAGGGCCAGGTGAGGCAGGTGAAGACCTGAGACCAGGTGAGGGTGAAGCTGGGGGCCAGGAGAAGCAGCTCTGGCCAGGACGTGCCTTCCTGTCAAGCAGCCAAGGGCTGGGAGGACCCTGCAGGGATGTGGCTGTTGACACACCTCATGGCAATGAGACTTCTCTTCCCTTCCCCCTGCTGAGTCCCGCTCCTCACCACAGGGCCTGGATGGGGCTGATGTGGCATTTTTCCAGCAGGGCTGCCCTCAACCACATGAGGGCCTGGGGGACCCTGGAGGGTCCTGGGGGGAGGGGGACAGGAAGTGAGAGGGGCATGGAGATAAGCAAAGGAGCAGAGGGTGCAGAGACTCTGAGACGGTCAGCAGGGACCATGTCAGGCCTTACTGGGCAAGCTGGTCAATGCCAACCCAAGTAAACATCACCTGTAGTCCCCACGCACAGAGTCCCAGGGAGGGAAAGCTGGGGCCTGTAGGGCTCATCGGACCCAACCCCTTCATTAACGGATGAGGACACCGAGTCATAGAGAGGGGACAGAACCTGCCAAGGACACACTGCCAGTCAGTGGCAAGGCTGGGTCTGGCGCCCATGTCCCCAGACACCCAGTCTAGCGCTGCTGCATGTGCAATGCCTCCTGGGCCAGTCTCCCCATCCTGAGCTGTGGGCTTGGGTCCATGCGGAAGAGCCTCAGATTCCGGTTGGATTCAGGAGGGAGAGGAAAGCTCCCCTTGACTTCACAGGCCACTTAAATACCTCTATGGTTCCAGAAGAGACTAACGGTCTTCTTACTGGATAAGTAACACCACCAACTGAGCACCGAGTATGTCCTAGCACTACGTGCTATGTGCTGGACATACATTTTTTTTCAACCCTCACACATTTATCCACATTTTGCTGATGAGGCATTGAAGCCCTGAGACCTTAGAGAGGGAGTCCAAATTCATACAGCTAGTAAGTGGCAAAGCTGGGCCTCAAACTCTCATCTGAGTCCAAAGGCCATTGTCCTTTTGCCCCAAACAAGAGAGGACAGCCCAGTCCCTCCCGGGCAGTTTCTCAGCAGAAGCCCAACTTGTCCCACTCTCCAGAAAGAGAGGTAACCCAGGGGTACAGAAGCAGGAGGGGCCCATGCCAGCCCATGGGAGCAAGGGCACAATGCCAAGACTGGAGAATGCTCGTGAGCCACTCACAGAACTCGGAGCCTGGGTAGCTGTTGGCACAGCCCTGGTGGGAGCAGCCGGATGCCTGCGCGGGTCAGGGTCCTGTGGAGAGAGCAGAGACAGAACTGGCAGCGGGCCCAGGGCCCTGCCATCCCCGGCCCCCCGTCTCCAGCTCCGGGCCTGGTACTGACATGGGAGTTCTGAGCTGACAGAAGGGGCAGGAGGCACAGGGCAGGCGTGGGGCCGCAGGGAGAGAAATCAGCAGGCCTGGCATCTGAGCATAGAGCTCCCCTGGGACTGGAGGCGGGTGGGGGTGGGCAACAGACAGAGAGAGACACAGCCCAAGGGCTCTCTGCTTGGCAGACAGCCCACCCCACCCACCCATCGTGTCCCCACCCATTGTCTCATAGTGGTCGCCAGCAACACGGGGTATATAGGACAGGAACTAGAATCTCGTCTGCCCTCCTTAGAGAGGGGGGATAGCCGTGGGCAGGGAGTAGATAGGAAAGACGAAACAAAACAACCCCAGCAGAGCCATGGGAACCACACATGGAGTCTGCTCCCTGTGCCCCAGGGAAGGGGGAAGGGGTGGAAAAGAAGGGAAGGACCCGGGGCTGGAACAGAGAGGGCTGTCGGGGCAGATTTGGCTAGGGACAGGGTGTCCCAAGAAACACCCAAGGCCAAGGTCATTCTTGGGGAACTATTAGTTCCCTCATGGAAAATTTTCCAGATGCCAGCAAATCTAGGGGAAGACAATAGAGACACAGAGGAGAGAGAGTTCCTGTCTCAGCCACGCCATGAATGAGCTGTGTGACATGGGGCAGGCCGGCTGGCTTCCTACCACTCACTCTGGGTGTTTGCTTGATTGTTCCATTCATCCTCTTAAATGTATTGAGGGCCTACTGTGCTCTGACACCCCTCCCCCACTCTACAGGCTATAGTAATAGAAAACATGAGAAAATCCTTGTTGGAATCACGCTTCAGAAAGGCAAAGGAGATGTGTTTCCACAACCCTGCTCCCCCTGTCACAGGTCCTCAGCACGCTCACGGCTTGGGGTTAGGAACTCTGAAGTCATGCCTGAAAAATCCAAGCATGGTCAGGAGAAGACCAGCCTCCTCACCCCCAAACCATCTGCCGCCTCTGGCCTTGCCTGCAGCAGTGCCATATCAGGAGATGGCCATGGGCCCCTGGGGCTGAGCCAGGTGACCCCTGGGCCAGGCTGGAGCCAGCAGCAGAAGCAGGCCAGATAAGGGGTAAGCAGAGGATCTGGGCAGCCTTCTGGGGGACAGGCAGACAGAAGAGCTCCTGTGGGCGAAGCAGGAGCACAGATGGGGTAGAGGCCTGAGTGTATCCACTCACAGGATCTCCAGGCTCGTGGTCCCTTTGAGATCTGGGAACTCCTGGATGTCTGTGGCACCATTCAGGGATCTGGAAACGGATGCGACAAACTCAGAAGGGTGGGGTCAGAGCATCTCGATATCTGGGGTCCCCACCATCATTGATCTCCCCTTGAGAGACCCTACCTTTTGGGGAAATGTTATCCTTCCCCCCAGCCTCAAAATACTCCAGCTACTCAGGCCCTGTAGGGGCGGAGCTTGGCTCAGCAGGGTCCAAACTTCCATTTCCTTAAGTTGGCCCAGCCCCTAAGAGCCCCCAACGGGAGAACACAACCTGGCATCTGGGCCCCAGCATGCAAAACACAACAAATGAACAAAGAAAAAAAATACAGGCAAGGGACATGGGAATGGCGTCTGTCTAAAAGGCTCCAGCATGGGAGCTTCTGGAAAAGTTCCTGGCTGCGGGTGTTTGCTTATTAGAGTCTGAGATAGGGTCTCCCCCAAATCATCATCCACTAAAGCTTTATTACAACCTTCCCACCAGCTCTCTCTTAGATTGCTTTAGACTGATGGCTTTTCCCCTCCCTGCTGTCCCCTACCGGTGAGGACAGGGACCCAACCAGGCACAGCAAAAATGGGTCCTGCCAGACCACAGGGAGGCAGTGTAGGGTCCAGAAAGGAGCCTCTCGGATCTGGAGTCCAGGGTCCTAGCTCACGGCAGAGCAGAGCCCGGGAGCCTCGGGATCCATCTACAAAATGTGCTACCACCATCCACCTCACATGGTTAGAGTGACAACGAAACGTGATAATGGACATGAAGGCGAAGTGTGTGCTTGAAGATGTTAGTTATGTTCCTGGGATGCCATGTGTGGCGTGTAATCCGTGGAAGATTTTTGAAGAAGCAGAACTTGGGCTGGGAATGAAAAGAATGGGAGAAAGGAAACAAGGGAATGCCGTCAGGCCCAAGGCAGTGAAGGTGGTGCAGCAAAGGGCCAAGGGACCCATGCTCCAAGGTCACTGGAGAACCAGACCCTTATCCCATCACTGGTTCCTTCAGCAAGTATTTATGGAACAGCTCCCCGGAGCAGGACCCTGAAGAGGCCAGATAAAACTCCTGGGCTCTGGAGAAGGGCCCTCTTTCACTCATCTGGGATCTGGGAGGAAGCCGTGGGGAGCTGAAGGGAGGCAGTTCAGTGCAGCCAGATCTGGGAATAGGCCTGAGCAGAGGCTGCAGCACCGAAGACCAGGCCTTGTAGCGGGGGCTGTGCCTGCAGGTGTGAGAGCTGCAGAAGGGAGCCAGGAGGTGGCGGGAAGCAGGGAGGCCTGGGGGAGGTCCAACTTACAGTGTGTGCAGTTTAGGCAGGTACTGGAATGCTGACCTTCCCACAAACTGGATCGGGTTATCATAAAAGTGTCTGGAAGAAAAAGACCCGAACACCGAATTTAGTTATTCAGTCCTTTGAGCTGGGACCTAGGCCGATCTCTGCTTCGTCCTCTTACCCACGAGACGGGGAAGGAGCACACAGGGGAAGGCACCCCCTCCCAGAGTCCGGCCTCCCCAGCCCCGGCCCCCCTCCCCCAAACACAGCTCCGCACCAAGAGACGGGAGAAGTGAGTACTCACATTGTCTGCAGCAGAGGGTTCCCCATGAAGGCCTTTTCTGGGATGGCCCTGATGTTGTTGTTATGGAACCCTCTGGAAGACAACACCATGAGTCAGTGAGGACTTGGAGAGAGGTGTGGAGAGGGAGAGATGGAATTCCATGAAGCTTCTGGAAAGCTGACTAGGAAGGCCATAAGACCAAAGAGACATCAGCCTGGAGATTTGGGGTTCACCTCCTGCCTGGGACGTGTCCATTCCATAACACACCCGTCCTTTTCTCTGACACTTGTAAAAGGAGTGAAAAGTGGAGCCTCAGAGAGCCGGGGGGCCGGGGAGCAACTTGGGAGCAGGAGGCTGAGTTCAGATCCCAGGAGACACGTCCTCTCCTCAGTCATTTGTGGAGGGAACCCCACAAGGTCCCCAAGAGGAAGCTGAGGGTGTGTAAGAAAAACAGAGCTTCTGGGGGTTGCAGGGATGAGAGATGTTCCCCAAATGGAGGCTGGCTTGGCCTCCAGACCTGGAGACTAAGGAATCTAGAAGGGCAATGGCAGAAGGAGGGAGGTACCAGCTCAGTGTCCAGGGCTCTGGAAGCCAGGAATTATGAGTTTGGTTAGTTGGGGCAAACATTTTAAGATAAAAGTTGGACTGAGAAACACATGATCCAGGCTGAGCAGGCCCCTCCCAGCCACCTTTTTTCCACTGGAGATTTCTAGTGTCTCCTCATGCTTCCTTGCCTCCACCTCCTCTCTCTCCTCCCTCCCCTCCCCTTATTATTCCCACCTTCATGCTCTCCCCACAGGTCCCCCCAGACACCCCCAGCCCGTGCCACCCGCCTAGGCTGCTCTCCTCATTCTCTCAGTCCTTCATGAATTTGCTCGTTATATGTTTTTGGACTCTTCCTTTATGTCTAATGCTGAGCTAAGCTCTGAGAGATTTAGAAGTTTCTCTAAACTTGTCCTCAAGCAGCTTTCTCTCAGTAGATGTAGAGATACAGAGACAGACAGACAGACAGACACACCTATACTCATTGGGGACTCATTGGCAGTGGAGGACTTCCGACCCTTCCCCCAAGTTGGTCTGGTTGCTCCTTATCTGCTACACACAACTGGCCTTCATACCTTCCAGCTTCTGATGGGGGGGGATGGGGCATGGCATGGGGTTGGTCCAGCAGGTCTCAGATGGTAGTTTGAGTAAAGATGCTAGGCTGCCTGAAAGTGTGGGGCTCTGCTCAGAAATGTCAGGCTCCCTTAATCTGGTGCCGCTTTACTAACAATAGATCTCCTACTGTTTGCCAAGAGCCTCTTCTCCAAGAAGTCTGGTCTCTCTTGTGGTCATCTCTCTGCCCATTGAACTTCCAATCTCTACCTACTCGGTTCTTCTGTCTGAAAGGCCAACCCCCCCCCCCATCATGGCCACCTAAATCCCATCCATCCTGTAAGACTAATCTCAGAAGTATTCATCCACAATGTTCTTTCCACGTCACTCGGGATTCCCGGTCATTTTAGCTACTACTGTACAATTAGGGCTGGAATTATATACCAACCCGAAGCTGCTCTGTCCTGGTCCCTGACAGACCTAAAGGGTCCTCGGGGATAGCCCAGGTCTATCTGAATCCTTGATTATGTTTAGTAGCAAGCAGAGGGCTTGGCACAGTTGGTGCTAAAACAGAATAAAAAGAAGAGGTGTCCGTGGGGAACCGCATCCAGCTTCTCATCTCCTCCTTGGAATCAGGTGCTGAGGAGTGACCCAGTTAACCAGCCCCCAGCTCCTCTTCTCATTCATCTCTGGACGCACCCCAACCAAGGTGGGGGCAGTGCCAGGCCCAGCCTACCAGGAGGTGTCGTGTGCCATGTGTCTCTCCGGGCTGGAAGGGCCCACGGCCATTTCTGCTGATGACACACTACTCGGAAACGCTCCATGCCAAACTAATGAGGTCTGTGACTACTCAGACCCGTGCTGGGGGCTGGGGAGGGCACCCAGCTCCAGTTTCTACAGACCACAGGAGATGAGGGTGTGAGGGAGGCCCAAGGCTGGAGGCGTCAGCCCCTGCCCTTGGGAGAACAGAGAAGAGGACACCCCCGGAAACCAGGAGAGATGCTTACAGTTCCTGCAGTCTGCCCAGCGTCCGGATGGCGATGGGGAACTCCTGCAGCTCATTATAATTCAGGTCTCTGGAATGGAAAGCAGAGCCGTCATTAGAAGGGTGGCTTAACAGGGCATGTCACGGCCCCTGAGAAACACAAACTTGGCTCTGGGATTGGCCGGAGAGATGCGTTTTCCAATTTGTCAGATCCAGCTGTCAGTGCCTAGAAACACATTTTTGGAATGTTCATATTCCATTCCTACTCCACAAATCCTCAGGCTTGAAGGCTTCCTGGCAGCAGAACTATTTTGAGGATACCCATGAGGGATATGGGTACTTGGAACTGACTCCTTCAGGAACAGTCCCCACTGGCTGAGGAAAATACCTCAAGCCTTTGGAGACATCAATGGCTGGGGAAGGGACAGAGGAGAGAATGAAGCCATCTTTACCACCTTGTCACCCACACTAGGGATTCTGGAAGGTTCCGTCAGGTGACTACTTTGGCTAGCTACGGCCTCTGCAGTGTCTATCAGAAAGATCAGTGCTTCTTATCTTTGGGTGGTGGCAGGATGGCTTATGTGTTTCTTCATTTCCTGATTTTTTTTTTTTTTACAATGAACATGTGTCACACATACAATCAGCAAACAATGGAGGCAATTTTAAAAAGTAGTAGCAAGTAGGGGTGGCTGGGTGGCTCAGTCGGTGACGCGTCTGACTTCAGCTGAGGTCATGATCCCAGGCCTAGGATCGAGCCCTGTAATGGCAGGCTCCTTGCTCAGCGGAGAGCCTGCTTCTCCCTCTCCCTCTGCCCCTCCTCTCGCTCGTACTCTGTCTCTCTCTTCTCTCAAATAAATAAAATCTTAAAAGAAAAAGTAGTAGCAACCCAAGTTGTGACTGGCCCTGATCAACAAGGGGGCCCTGCCAAAAGAGGAGTGCTTGCATTGTGGGGAAGACAGTACAAGGAGACTGGGGAGTAGGGAGTAAGAGCCACAGAAGACTTTCCGGGAGTTTTGCTCTATGTTACGTGATGGAATTCTCTCCCTACCACTGCTATGAGAGACTTCAGAAGAGATAATCAACCTTCAAGATTTTTTTAAATTTATTTTTTAAAAGATTTTTATTTTCAAATAATCTCTACACCCAATGTGGGGCTCGAACTCACAACCCTGAGATCAGGAGTTGCATGCTCCACCAACTGAGCCAGCCAGGTGCCCCTCAACCTTCAAGATTTTATTGTTATTCTTTATTTATATTTGTTTAACTTTCAAGACTTTAAAGTTGACTTTTGTTTCCCTCAGTGGCCAATGAGTTAGCCCCATGTGGAAATGTGCCTGATTGTGCGGGGGTTGCCTCGGTGTCTCCAGATTCCCGTGGCTGAAGTCTGTGGTACAGTCTCAGGTACAGTGTCCCTCTTGACCCCCCAGGATGACCCCAGCCCAACTTCTCTCAGTCTTTTCAAGCCATCCCTGCCCTGACCACGTTCATGAGAGGACTATCCAATGCCAGGGCAGGGGACAATGCTGAGGCCCTTTAATCACAGAGTGACTTGGCAGGTTCTGTGGGTAAATACTATGTTAACACAGAGATAATGACAGGTTCCCCTACATGACAAGGTCATTACACTTAATAGTCCACAGGTAGAGCCAGAAACCCAGCCCAAGGGCCAGAAGAGCAGTGACAACCGTCTGGCAGCCAGTGAGCTGGATAATTGTGCCCCCTCTCCACCTCCCCCCCCAACACACACTAATTACCCGATTACACTCAGACTCCCATGGTGATCTTGGGTAATTACAGCATAAACCCTCCCGCTTTGCTCTGCTCTGCTCCGTTCTTTCGTGAATCCTATACCTTTCCTTCCAATGACTCAAAACTTGATCTGCTCAGATGGGCTCTTTCTGGTCTTAGATTTTATAAAGGATCCACCCTCATATCTCAATGTCTCCAAATTAAGGGTCCCCCTTCTAACTCTGCTCAGCCCGTTCAGGAATTCCCTACCGTCACACAAGAAGAAATGGATAAGTAACAGAAGAGCACTTTCCCTTAAAGCCTTCCTATTGCGGTGTTATCATAAATGCAAAGAATTGCGCTGGCCTGACCTCAGAGCTTCAGCTCACCATTCCATCTCCCTGGAACATTGTAGATACTTGCATGGCTTACACCCTCACTTCATTCAGGTCTCTGCCCAAATAACATCTCATCAGAGAGGACTCGTCTGACTGCTCTATATAATATAGCACAGTCCATCAATCAAGTTCCCTTACCCTGTGTGGTAGATTAAAAGTGATCACAAGTCTTCTCCTTTTGCAATATGTAAGTGTATCAGATCAACAGCCTGTATGCCTTAAATTTACACAATATGTCAATGATACCTCAATAAAGCTGGAGAAGAAAACGTGGCCACAAGTCCTTTGTGGCTTCTCCAATCAAGAAGTGGCCTCTACTTCCCCACTCCTGAGACTGGGCTGGCTTGTGACTGGTCCTGACCAACAGAATGAGGCAGAGAGGCCATGGTGTGAGCTGGTCTGAAGTCACGAGAAGCCTCAGCCTGTGTCATGCAAGGAAGCCCGGGCTATCCTCCTGTGGAGGGGCCATGTGGAGAGGACCGGCCAATAGCTAGCACCAAGGCCCCACTCACAGACTTGTGAATGAGGCTTCTCAGAGCCTCTAGCTGTCGTTGAACCTCGGCTGACTGCAGCCTCATGAGTGAGCCCAGGGGAAGGCTCCAGCAGCAAAGCTCCCCAGGCAAGCCAATCCACAAACGTATGAGAAACCATACATGACTGTTTCACACCGCTATCTTTTGGGCTGATCTGTTATGTAGCCATAGGTAACAAGAGACCCTGCTTTTCTTTTTCTCATAGAACATATTGATATCTGACATATATGTGTCTATTTTCTTCCCCCCGCTAGAATGAACGTTTCTTGAAAATGGAAACTTTGTTTCATCATCTAAACACCAAAATACTGGCACAGAACAGTAGCTCAACAAATATTTGTAGAATGAATACAT